GCCGCCCCCCGGCGAGCGGGGCGGCCGGTCCCGATGCTCTCTTTTAGCCTGCACCACCCCTGATGACTCATGTTATCGATCTCCGAGGCGACTACCTTGAGTAGTTATTTCAGCCTCAAAAAGAGGTGGGAAAATTAATGAGAGTTTCTAAAGGTTTCCTGAAATGCTTGCACGTGAAATCTTGCCGAAGTGGAAGGTGGAATCATTACATTTCGTTTATCAGGTCACTTAGCACTTTTTCTATGAAATTTGCTGGCAACTGCTCTAATAAAACAGATCACTGAACAAACATACCATTAACCCAATCAACCTGTTCTTTTCATTGTGTGCTCACCAGGAGATGATCACTGAAGCTTCTTTCTATTTGTTCAATGCCACAAAAGGCAGAGTCCATTTCAGGAGCGTGAAGATTTTGATACCTCCGACGTGGACGGAGAAGAGTTATGAAACACCAAAGCATGAGTCCTATGACAAGGTAAGGCTCAAAACCTGTCTTAGGAAATAGAGTGTGATACGCTCTTTTATACGCATTTATTAGTGTACCCAAATACACCTGAGGTTTTAAAAAGTGACCTAAAAAAGTAATCATGTGAGAATGACCTTAAGAACAGGCAATTCTGTGTTCCGTGAACCATTAATAAATGTGTAAGTAATAAGCATCAGAGAACAGAGAAATTTCCTTATAGTCTGTTCTGCTTCAGTAGTAGCCACCTTCTATTCTAAACTATAGTAAATTGTCATGCATACAAAGGGTTGTGTCAGAATGGTGTTTATCAATAATATCATAGGGCCCCACCCTGCTCTTGTTTAAAAATGAGAAACAAGAGAGTGCTGGGCTGTAAGAGCACCAGGCTAAATCCATCACAGTCCATAAATGGGGACCCTGTCAGCGGGTTAATCATTTTAGAAATCTGGTCTGTGACTGGCAGACATCCTGTTGATATTCAGTTTTATTTCTCCACTTGGTTTCATATTTATTACATGTGAGAACTCTTTGCTTGTGAGTTCTAATGGGTTTTTTTTCTTTTCTTTCTTTTGCTTTCTTAACCTGTCATCCCGCTAATAACTTTTGACTCACCACTGTGCTGAAGACAGCAGTAAGAGTTGTCTGGGTGGAGTTTCAAAGACTCAGCTTGGCAAGGAAATCCAAGGAAATCAGAGGAACCAAAACAGCTCATTGCTACAGAGACAGAATACAAGTGGAGGCTAGTTCATAACAGTTGGTTAGTTTTCCCCATTAGTTCAAAATTTTATGTAGCTGGAATGCAGGAAATGGGATGCAGAGTAATACACCTTTTAGCTACTTGCAAGGCCACTGGTACTTATTGACCAGCCCCACAACAGATATTCATAGCAGACATGTTACAAAATATTCTTTTACAAGATTGTGTAATAATATCAATGATAACTTACAAAGATGTATTAGTCATCAGAAAAAAAACCTATTTCCACTTGAAAGGCACTTAGAAATCGGAACGGTTCCTCGGTTTACAGGTGGCCGCTGGAGATCCCTAGCGCAAGGCAGAAGCTTGCTTTGCTTAGACTTTGTCCCGACATATTCTTCCAACATCAGTGTTGACTTCCACCATGAGAAAACAACAGAAATTTGTTGTTTTCAGATCTGACTAACCTGCCTTGCTGTGAGAGACTGAAGTAGCTCAGCTGAGCTCCTGGAGAGAATCAGTTACATTTCTGGCAATCTAAACAGTAAGATTTCTGGTAAGAGAGTCCACTTAATTTTTGCAACAGTTCTTCCTAGGCAGTTACGTTCATATTAGAACAGAGGCACAATTTTAAACTGCAAGGGCTAATGCCTGTAAAGGAAGAATGTGTGGAAGTGGTAGATTCTTTTGTTTTGCTGCTCATTTGCTGCTTTTAAATCAAAAGAAGATAGCCCTCTAAAAGACATGCCATGGATTCATATGCATATTACAAGTTGGATGGAGGAGACTTCAGCTACATGGATAGTAGAGAATGCACAGAATTGACCTTTCTGACTTTAAAAACGAACAGTTTTCCTGACTGGAGCTACTTTTTCCTCGTTCTCCTCGCAGTCAAACTTTGAGAGGCAGAAGGAACCAGAGAGACCTAACAAATTTGATTTTTATGTGCTGGCTATGACATATTCCCATTCACTGTACCAGACTAACCCCCTGGACCCCGCTACATGTGCACTCTTGAGCACGTACAGCCTTGCTTCTCTACCTGCCACCTTCCTTCACTTGTAGCTGTCACTCTATCCTGAGTGGAAGAGTGATAGAGCCATTTTGAGGCTTGCTTCCTATTCTGCTTTGCTACCAAAACCTGTGATTTGCAAGTACCAACTCCCTCTTCTTTCTCCCTCCTTCAGAGGCCTGCTGTTCTCTATATCCCACTGTGGTTTGGAAGTGTGTGCCTGACAATGTTAAACCTTGTTCCTGTTTGTCCCACCTATCAGTGCAAGCAGCCTGCCTGCAATCCTGCACAAAATTGAGCTTTCCTCTATTGGAGAAAACTATATTAAAGAAAAATCTTGACAAAGGTGCTTCTAATTCTTATCAAAATGTTACCGAAGCCTGGCAACACCTAGCATGAGAATAATTCTGAAGTAAGTTACTTGTTTTTGAAGTCTGAGACGTGAAATAACAGTACAGAAAGGAAGAACCTGGCTGTGTATCGAAAGGAAAACTCTTTTCAAGAAAACTCTGCCTCTGGTAAAAGTGCTTGCTGTGTTGGTGGCTTTCTATTTTACTACTGTAGTTAGAGGTCTCTCTATTTTTATTAAGAAATGAGCCTAACATGCAAAGAGCCTTAATAGAGGAATACATGCAGTTTTCTCCCACTTCAAGGCTTCATTACGCTGCTGGGAAATCTACCTGCAATATTGTCAGTCATACTGTGGCAGAAGTTAGGAGCTTGGTCATGGGCTAGGTTGTATTACATGGAACAGTGCACTTAACTAATACAATTTTTCTACCCTTAAGCAAGTTACTTTTGTGTATTTTTAGGCAGATGTCATAGTGGCACCTCCTTATTGGAAACATGGTGATGACCCATATACCTTGCAGCCTGGAGCATGTGGAAATATGGGAAAATATATCCATTTCACACCTAACTTCCTAGTAAACGATAATTTGATGGATATCTATGGCTCACGGGGTAAATTCCCTAAACGTTTACTTTTCTGGTTTGTCCTCAGTTGTGTACAGCAGAAGACTGAAGAATACTGAAAGCCGCGGTTGTTTAACCTTTTCCTGTACATTTTCTGCACACTTCTTGTACAGTACTGCTGTGCAAAACGTTTGTTAAATGCATAAAGGTAGCCTTTGCTTCCTAATCCCTTAGCATTGTGTCTAATAGAAAAGAAAGCACTGGTTCATTGAGGTTAGTTCCACCTAGAAGTTTAAGTATTTAAATACAATGTGATACGTGCTTTACTGTCATGTAAGTTTATATTAAAAACAATCACTATTTCACCATTCATTTCTATGGACTGAATTCCAGCTCAAACACATTATGAAAAAAGAAGCCAGTTTTTAAATACATAAAAGCTAGGACTTTCACATGATGTTCTTTAAAGTTAGTCACACTTAGCCACCAAAATTAGTTACTTTATATTAAAAATGCCTAAGGCCGATGGTTGCTGGATAGCTGCTATTCAGAAAGTCCACTGTATAACTTTGCTGGTTGATTTTGCATACAGTGATATAAAAGATGACTACAGTTACTGTGTATTTGCCATTCCCTTCTCCCTGCAGGCCGAGTCTTCGTCCACGAGTGGGCCCACCTTCGGTGGGGGGTGTTTGATGAGTACGACAGCGACAGGCCTTTTTATGTAACTGGGCAGAATCAGGTTAAAGTTACAAGGTAATTCAGCATTTTACTCCTTCCAGGTGCCCACTCTGGTAGGCTTTAGAAACCTGTCTGGTGTGTTTCTATAAACCCCTCAGGTGTCCCTTTATCTTTTAGTCCTTATTTTAACCCTCATTTAAAACCTTTCCTACTTTATGAACAGTTCATGTGATTTTCTCCACGTCCATCTTTACACATTTCTGTCATTGATGGATCGGCAGTGATGGCGAAGGTTACCTTTTTCTGAATGGACTCTGGAGGCTAAATCACTTCCGTACTCTGCCACTGGAGAGGAAATGGAGCTTGTTGAGAAATCCTCCTTCCCCCTTGCTTGGGGTGTTGTCTGTCCAAGCGTTTCCTCCTCTTCTCGCCTCACCTCTCCCTGCTCTGAAGTACACTGCAAACTTTGGTCTTTCTCACTTCAAATTCTTTTCTTCGGCTTTGCTGCCTCTGCACAACTTTACCTGCGCTCTCACTATTGATCTACTGAATGCCTGGTTCACTCTTTGCTTTTCCTCCCTGCCCATACGGCCAAATGGGGCCTTGAGAAACAAAGCTACTAGAGCACGTTTGCGGTGGAACCCACTGAGCAGGTGCCTGTACCTATGGTAAACCAGGAAGCCATTTAACAGCTTTCCAGGGTGTAGCAACGACGTTTTGAAGTGTTAACCGCTGAATCAACAAGACTATTTCTGCAACTGCAGTACTTTACATCTGTAACTGTAATATTTCTACTCAATCAACAGACTGAAGTGATGGGGAAGTAAACAAATCACTGGTTTTAACTTGAGTCACGTTGCAGGGTACGTTCATGTATTTCTACAGTGAGAACTTCTTTGCATAGGCAGAGCGCCGAGCACAGTGCAAGCCTCATTAATGTCAGCGCTACATCCTGGTGGGGTTTCTAAGTGGAAATATACTCTGTTTTATCCCTAGGTGTTCCTCTGATCTAACTGGCATTTATGTCTGTGAAAAAAAATCCTGCACTGACGGTAGTTGTGTTATTAATAAGCTAACAGGGCTTTTTAAGGAAGGATGTGCATTTATTCATGAGCGAAATCAAACTGCAATGTCATCACTAATGTATATGCAAAGTTTGTCATCTGTAAGTACAATCACAGAAAAACAATTTCTTTCAATGTTATAAACATGTATCATCCTTCTTTTAGAAATGTTAGATTTGTTTCAGCTGTTATCTAACTAAATCCACTGTAATGTATACTATTATCAATGTAAAATGAAGTTGAGTATTAGCTGATGCCTTAACTATGCACAAAAACCACCAGTGAAGATTCCCTTCCATCCCTGCTTTTATTTCTATTATTCTTTTGTTACTTACTTTTGATTTTTTTCTATTTGCTTGCCATTTGAGGTGGCTGAATTCTGTGATGAACATAACCATAACAGAGAAGCACCCAATCTGCAGAATCGGATGTGTGACTACAGAAGCACATGGGAAGTCATTCAAAACTCTACAGATTTTAAAAATACTCTTCCAGTGACCAACACCAGCCACATTACTCCCCCTTCCTTCTCATTGCTGCAGAAGAGAGATAGAATGATATGTTTAGCGCTTGATATTTCTAAGACTACAGCTGGGGTAAGTTCTTACTCAGATACATTTCATTGCACGTTTTACTTTCTTATATTATGTTTTCAGACACACGAGTTATCTAGAAATATTGTTCTCTACACAGAGATGGAGAAGTTTGGCTACAGATTCAAGAATCAGCCCAGCAGTGAGAGAGTTCAGGGTTTTCTTTTCTTTCAGGAGCAGGGGAGTCAAGATCTCTCCTGACACGACTGAGGCCAGGACAGGGTTGCTGAATACTGGTCAGTTGGATATTGGTGGCAAAATTTTGTCAGGAATAAAGGACATTGCTTGTTACACCCGAAGTGTATAGGTAGGGGAGCCAGGAGCATGAGGAAGATGGAAGGGCAGGGAGCAAGATAGAAGGAACAAAAAAAAATTCCAGAAAAGGGGGGGTCTCTCTTTCAAAGGTCTGAAAACAACTACTGTTCAACAGCACGTGGCATAAGGATTTGCTTGCCTAAGGCTGATCTTCAGTAAAATAAGCTGAATGGCATATTTAGGTTTTGTATTCTAAACAAAATTGGTATTGGCCAAAAGGAATATTTTAGGTGACTTGTCTCTCATAAGTTGATATTTTTGCAGAGAAAGTTTAGCTATCAGTGCATATTTTCCAGCTTTTATTGTATATACTTACAAAACTGTTTTTAACTCCTTTTATATGTAGGGTAACTGGATCAATCGATTGCATCAAGCAGCAGAATTGTATTTACTGCAAATTGTGGAAGAAAATTCCTATGTTGGTATTGTCACATTCAGTCACATAGGAGAGATCAAAACTCACATGCGTCAGATAGTCAGTGGTGATGTACGGAAACAGCTTGCTTCATACTTACCTGCAGCTCCAGGAAGCAAGAGAACAAATGTTTGTGCAGGCCTGCAACTGGCATCTGAGGTGAAGCATTGAGAGTGCTATTTCTGTTTGGACCTCTTGTGTTTTCATTTTTAATTGTGAGGATTTCTGTTCCTGGGCCGCATCAAATATCTTCTACTGATTATTTTATTGTTTGAAAAGAATTATCATAGTTTCCCAGTGTACTTATGACGCAAATATCAGCTAGTAATAATGAAAAGAAAAATAACCAAAGTTTGCCGTTAAAAATTCTATATCTCTTAAAAATAACATTATATGATATTATATGATCTTTTTAATGTTTTAAAATTTTATATATAGTGCATACAACTTTAATGATACATATTTTTAAACTTTTCAACTTTAGCAGTTCATACTTTTATAAGCTTTATCTTCCAGTGTTCAGATTGCGATTTCATTTCTAGATTGTACAAAAATGATGCTGGCATACTCAGCAGTTCTGCTGCCTGTGAGTAATCAGGATTTTATCTGCTAACTTCAGCGTATATCCTCTAAAACCACATTTTTATTTTTATTTTTTAAGTCTTGTTTTGCAATATCAATTCATTAACATGCTCTTATTGATGCATCTTTCAGCCTTTTTGGTATTAAACCCAAATGGTGCCCGTTTCAGCACTGCAAAAACTCAGCAAATACCTCACAAGAAATTTAGTCGTCCTGCCAACATGACAAAACCCTCTGTCAGAGAGATGAGGCATGGGAGCAAAAACGTTTTCATTCTCCTCTGATTTTAATTCACTTTCTGTGTTAGTGAGAGTCTGTAGTCTCAGCCCTCTGCCATGAGGATTCATGTCTGTACAAATACCTGAGGGGAAGGGAAGTCAAGGAGAAGGTGTTCACTGTATCGCTGCTTGTCACGTACACATGTGCAGCATATTCTGGTTTTAGTCTCTGTTGTTTCTCTGCCATACAGTAGTTAAATTTCATGGCATTTGTTCCTATTAACTTTCTTTTGAAGAAAGGGTCAGAGTTAATTACAAGATAGATATTTATTGCTTCTGTGAATACCTGTCCTTCTGCCTCAGGTCATTAGGAAGAAAGATGGAAATATATATGGATCTGAAATTGTACTGGTGACAGGTGGACAAGACGGTCATATGAAGAATTGTTTTTCTGATACGATTAACAGTGGATCAGTCATTCATACAATTACTGTTGGATCTTCTGCTGCTAAGGAAATCGAACACTTCTCCAAAGAGACAGGTAAATTTTGGGACAAACTATGACTCCAATCCTGAAAACATTCAGCTCAGATATGTCCAGTAAAGCCCAACATAGGTGTAAATGTGTGTGAAATTGAGAACTTGCCAATACATTTCTTCTTTGAACAATCTCAAGCAGTGAGTCTCAGCCATACAGTTTGTTGTCCAAAAAAGGTACCTACGAAAAACAGCTGTAGTGTCAATAGAGTAAAATTCCTTATGACGAAGGCTCTGTCTCCACTGAATGATCTGAGTGGATCCATAGAGCTAAGAAAAGATTGAAAACTAATGATATAGGCAACTAGATTAAACAGAAGATGTCTATGTGCTAGACTTTAAAAGGTATTAGGATATAGTAAAATCAATGAGAATTAGGCACCTAAATAACTTCTAATTTAGTGGGAGAAACTGCTATGTATGAACAGCTTTTGCTTTGTTCATAGACCTGAGTTGTTAATTTCTAAATAATACTTGTCATATATGCCACTATTTCTATCATAAATGTTCACATATTTCATCAATTATTAATATATTGCAAAATTCTTAGGTGTAGATTTTTTTCTCAAATGCTTTAAATTTTTAATGTGCAAAGAACACTGACGTTTCATTTCAATATTTAGCCTTCTGCCTTTGTCCTGAATTGATTAGATACTTAGGTCACATAGTAATATCCTCTGTCTTTTTATTAGATGCCTTTAAGTGGGATTAAAAGAGACATTTCTAGGCCCGTTTTCTTGTTTGAACAAGGCTGAATTTTACTCTGTAAATGAATGTGTATTAGAGGGTCAGAACTGGAGATTAAGGCACAAATTTTCAAATGCGTCTGCTAATTGTTCTTTTGGCCCTCTTTATATAGCTGGATAAAGAAAACAGCTCTTATTCACGCACATAGGCATTTTTAGAAAGCTGACCTTGAGTACACTTGAGAATGATCTTCAGTCATACAGGTGGCCTAGATAGGTCTTCAACCTGTTAGGCTGTTCCGCTTGGTTAGAATTGTAGTACTGGATTTGCAGCATTACCAGGATATTTTCTTAAAGCAATGTGAAATTATTTTTAAAAAGTCATCACAGAGTGGTAAGCTCATGTTGTCATTCTGATTCAAGAGGCATTTTGAAGCTGTTGGGAAAACTCTTGTTAACAAGATGGTTAGCATCCACCGGTAGGGGAGGTAGCTGTCCTCCTTTCCTGATACCACTGCGAGTTTTGTGGTAAAACTTACATCTTGTGAACCTGATTTAGACTCTTGTATTATGTATAAATTGAAATAACTATATTTGAAATAAAACCTATGCTCTGTTTCAGGAGGGTTGAAGTTTTTTGTCCCAGAAAGACTGGACTTCAGTGACTTACTGGATGCTTTCAGTGGAATTTTGTCCAGAAGTGGAGATACTTTCAATCAATCTATTCAGGTTTGTCTTATAAGCACAGCTAATGTTTTTGTTTCCTGATTTTCTTTTTGACAAAAACAGAACTTAGCAAATGTATCTAGGTATCCTGCTCCCTATTTCCTGGTGACCACTTCAGCTTGATTTATAGTCCCTTCTTCACAGGGCCTATCGAAGTGTTGATAGACTTGGTGTGTTAACGCTGATTTTTTTTTTTTCTATAATCTGACAAATTGTAGTAATTTACCTCAAATTCTACTGTGTGCTAGAATACATAAGCCTTTTTTCTAGACTGCTGCTAGAGATAATTTTAACCTTAAGCAAGGCAGGGAATCGCATCTGGCAATTTGATCCAAGGAACTCCTGAGGGCGAAGTAGTGTTTCTATCCAGAGTTCTGTTTATTTATTGCTGCTGTTTTTCTTCATGAAAGAACATGTAAATGGAACTCTAAATTCGTACTAAATTAGTCTGCAGTCTTTTCAAGGACCATTTCCTCTAGCAGTAGAGTGGCTTTTCAGCTGGGAAAGTAGTAGTATCCCATGTAACTGGAATTCCATCCGATAGAAATTCAATGTTTTAAGAAGGCCATTGGGCCTAGTTTTTCTGTTATTTCCACCGTTCAGTGGAGCTGTTAGTAAAATCTACTACTGTGCAAGTGAATGGGATAATAAAGGCCCAAATCATTATAGAAGATAAATGTTAGTATGTTTTTTTGGAGCTTTTTAATTTATCAATCAGATTTGATAGCTTAAAACAGGAGAGAATGCCCGTTTTTGTAAGCATACGTGATTTTCAGAACTGATGGGCTTGTCATTCTATTCTTTCTAATAGATTGAAAGTGCTAGTGACAGCACTGGAGGGTATAAACAGCTCCATAGGACAGTGACTATTGATAGCACAGTGGGAAGAGAAACTTTTTTTGTAGCCACTTGGCAAACCCCTGAACCGCCAGAGATCACGCTCTTTGATCCCCATGGGAAAGGCTACACCAACAAGGACTTTGACATTGATTCCATTTTCCATGTAGCTCGTCTCCAGATCCCAGGAATTGCAGAGGTAAAATTTAAGATCTCTTTTTACTTTTTCAGCATGGGAGTAACATCCTAACTGTACATTGTTTGCGTTCTATTAGTTATGTGAAGTAGAATCATTTAACAGCATGAGATAATGTTATTCTGCCACACTATGTTATCATGACTGCTGTGTGCCAAACTGTTTCCTGCTAGGTTCAAGAGTACCACCTTAAGGTTTTATCTCTATCACTTTACACTTGATTTACAACTTATCTTCAAATTTCTGAACCCTATCTGTAGCCAGTGGATGAATTTTCTCTCTTGTTATCACTCTTAAGTAATATATTACATTACATGGGAGTTATTTAATCTCTTATGTCCCATTTAAAATTACTATTTTGTACATAGAAGCTTCTTTCCATTGTAGAAGTTTTAGAGAATTTCATACTATTGTGGATAAAAGGTACCTTAGATTTGACTCTCGGTCTAGCAAGTTATGTCTCTAATTTAAAATTGCAGTAAGGAGGCCTAAATTAACTAGATGAGATGTACTAGTTTAACACAGAGGGGACAGGTTTCATAAAGATGTGTCCAGTAGATACTGGGTGTGTCCAGTATCTTCTCATGCAGATCAGCTTTAGGCTGCTTTCCTATTCCATCAGAATCTGAACATGAAAATTTACACTAGATATAGTTAGATATAGACATATTAAGTGATGGATCTGAAGCAGTATCTAAAATGTATGGATTTCATTAATTTCTCACTTAGACCTGTTTCAACTCACTATTCACTATGATTGTATCAATGAAAATGTTCATAATGGTGTTACCTACCATTATGAACAAAACCAAATACACTGAACTTTCAGATTGTGAGATCTAAATCTCATTAGAGAAGTTTTAAAATTTTGGAATGTGCCAAAAGTCTGAATACAACCCCTTACTCAACCCCAAGAATTTTGGTTCAGACTCCTCTCTCTCTTGATGGTAGTTTCTCCACTTTTCCATTTGAAGAATTTTGGGGAATCTATTTCACAAATGAAAATTAGTGATGAAGAAAATAGAAATATTAACTGAAATGACTGAAAACTTGACTTTTGTGAAGTATAGGTTTATGGAATGAAATAAGATATATTTAAAACATAAATAAAGTACATGGAGTACATTAAGGTCTTTTGAAATACTTACATAAGGGATTCCTGCTTAATTTAGTAAACTCATTCTTGTACTTAATGAGCTTCAGTGCTTCTGCTTTATATTAAAACCATACACACGTCCTAATTATTTTTCTGAGTTTTGAGAAAGTAGGAAAACTAGAGTTGCTGTTTTTTTCAATGCTGCAAGAAGACTCTTTTTCCACAAAAGGAATCCTTTATCTCTTAAGTAGTCCATGGAAGTTAAGGAAGTAAATAGAGATTGCTGGTTTTGGTCTCATAGAGAATGGTTTCAGAACAACATCCTAGAGGACAAATTGCAAAACAGTTCTTCATACTGAGTCATATTTATGAGTATTCCCATTGACAGAAACAAAGCTACTCATAGGGTGTTACTTAGTTTAAATAGGCTGTCAGAATTTAAATAAGCACAAATTAAATTATCCAAAGGAGAGTTATTTCATTTTAAAAGGTTTGAATTCTTTTTGTTTTTTTCAGACAGGGGAATGGCTATACACACTGACAAATACACACCTGTCTCCTCAAGTTCTGACAATGACAGTAACTTCTCGAGCAGTAAATTCTACTATACCTGCCGTGGCTGTGAAAGCCCATACGAGCAAAGATACAAATGACTATCCCAATCCAATGGTTGTCTATGTACAAGTTAGTCAAGGGTTTTCACCTGTTCTTGGAGCAAATGTGACTGCCATTATTAGCCCGGAGAACGGAGATCCAATTTCCTTGGAACTTTTTGACAGTGGAGCAGGTAACAAGACTCTGGAAATGTATTTGAAAATATCTAGAAAACAAGATTAAAGGTCTCACCTAACTGCATTTTTTACTGAATACTATGTAGTGTAATGCACGGAGACAAAGTAGCCATGGTTCCATGGTAAGGTACATGAGCGCAGCTGACCTTGTTGGTGTTATTTCTAGATAAGCTCTCATTTAGTAAATCATTTATGTGCATAAATTTAAATGTGGAGAACCATTCCAATAGTCAGAATTGTGCTGTGTGTCATTAGTTACCAGTTGCCATTCAAGCTAATCAAATTGATAAGGTTTAGCATATTGGAGGATGAGGCCTTTAAAGCTCAATAACTTAAAATGTTCTAGGTAGGTAAGCAGGCCCAGAACTTTGAACTATAAGCACTTCCAAGCAAAACTGCAGGCCCTATCCCTCACTGCATTTTACAGTTATCAGGTTAAGGGTGTAAATATAGTAATTTAGATTCAGTAGCATTTCTATATCTTGTGCATCTGCTTTGCAACAGTAAAAATTGTTATAAAAGGTAAAAAATGGGAAGTTTCCCATTGGTTATTCAAACATGCTGCAAGGCAACATAGTCCTTTGTCCACAGTCCAACATAGTGTTAGAAAGGATTTTTTTACAGAGAAGCTAATTATCAAGTTATTTTGGTAATTTTTCAAACTATTTTGATAAATTGTTATTTCTATACTGAATTTCACAAAACTATCAGAAGATTGCAATTACGAATCTTCTCCCTTTTGCACTACCACATATTTAATATACTAAACATTAGTTTGTTTCATTTTCCTGGCTAGTAACAGACAGAAATCTGCAACGGTGGAAATGACTCACACAGAGTCCTATTAATATTAAAGTGATCCCATTTGGGAATAAGCCCATATATGAGAACTGCTTTTCAGGAATGAAAACCAAGCACTTCAGAGATCCAGATCCAATCACCTCGTTTCACCTAAATTCTCGGGCAGTTGCCTAGAGCTCAACGCAGTGGCTGAGGCATGAGTGACTAGTGCCAACGGCGATGCCCAGAGGTATCCTGGCTGGCCTCCAGCTGTTGTTTGGGGGCACAGCTCTTTTCTCCGTGGCAGTCACATGTGCCAGCTCCTTGCAGATGTCCCAGATCCCTGAGGGCATCCTAAACAGCACCACACCTGCATGTGGGCAACTCACCCAAAAGCCTGTTGTCTGGGCATCGCTGATGGTCTGGAGACAGCCAGAAGGAAGTGTTAGGCACAGGGTCTCAAGAGGCGTTTAGGGCTGCTGAATACACTATCTCTCTGTTTGTAATTTCTACCCTGAATCTTACAGATTACTCCTCCCAAGATGAAAATAATTTTCTTCGGAAAATTTCCAACTTTCTTGGTCCACCTATATTATCTGGCAATTCAATTTGCATCAATAATTTCTCAAAATGCCTTTTGCCTGAGAGTATTCCAGGAAAAGTATTATCTTGGGGGACAGCATGCTTGTGTTGCCAGCTATTTGTTGTACCTGATTGGCCAAGCTACATGCACTTGTGTTCTAGGCAAGCATTTGGCTTTTTTGAGATCCATGCTGATTTTTAAAATATGTATAATACAAACTGCTTTTTCAGCTGTGTGGATTCCCTGTTGTACAGGAACAACCATGATACTATATGCCTCAGAGTTTATACAGGGTCAAGATTACCAGTAATGATGTGTTACCAGTAATTTGCAGTGGTGGTTATAGCAAATATATAGTATAGCAGGAAGAAACTCTTTTTTGTGTGTGTTTCTAAGGAAGAGTTCTAAGGAAGTAAGAAATCTTTTGCTTTTGAATAAACTAATAGATAATTTAGCTGTTCCTTCAGTTAACACACAATGCAAAAAGACATCTTAAGTTCAGATGGCAATCCTCTTGAACACTTCTAACATACTACCAAAATGAGAGGAGCTGCACAGATTACAAGTCAGAGGAGAATTTGCTTACTTTTTCTACATTCTGGTTTCCATAGATGAATCTAAATGGCTTACATAAGCACACTAATTCTTGTTTGATGTTAAATTATGTCTTTTTTTGTATCTAGGTTCTGACATTGTCAAGAATGACGGTATCTATTCAAAGTACTTTTTTTCTTTCCCTGGGAATGGCAGATACAGCCTGAAAGTCCATGTCCAAGCTAACAGAACTATCATGCCACAAACTGCAATGCCGTGGAGTCATGTCCTGTATATACCAGGTTATGTGGAAAATGGTAAGGCAAAGTAATAAGGAGAAAAGCATGTAGCTATTTATTTCAGCATCTGCATGCATCAAGTCCCTTTGCAAATGCTAATAGTAGGCATTAGAGCAAGGACATCCCAGCTAAGAGGTACTTAGTTCTAAATGCTTTTCAAACACTGAAAGTAGTTATTTCCCTTCAACACAAGAATAAATATCTCTTCCCCGGAACAATGTTTAAAGCGACTGTAAACAACTGTAATACAGCAGTATCTGTGTAATACAGATAGACCTTAGCAGTCAGTAGGGCACAAGGATTTGTGTTTTGCCTGTGAAAGGAATAGCTGTAGGTTTAGTAACTAGAGTACTATAATCAATCAATCATCTTAATTTAAGAACTGTTAAAGTTCAGTAAATGAAACTCTCCTGTAATCAATTTATAATGAATCACACTTACTTCAGTTTAATATTATCTTAATATTTAGTACACTTGAAACTGTACCAAAGTAGATACTGTGCTGGAAATAACTGTACTTAATTGAGATTAATGGTTTTTTCAGATTTAAAACAATATAAATGAAATGAGGTTCAGGTCATCTGCAGAGTATATTAATGTGCAAATAGTTAAGATTGATCAACATTTTTTTTAATGCATCAGGTAAAATCAAGATGAACCCATCAAGACCCTCAGTTATTAAAAATGATCTTCAAATCAGAAGAGGAGGTTTCCATAGAACAGCTGCAGGAGGCTCCTTTATAATATCTGCAGTTCCAGTGGGGCCTTATGCTGATGTGTTTCCACCATGCAAAATTATTGATCTTGATGCCAGAGTAGAAGATGATAACGTCATATTATCATGGACAGCACCAGGAGACGATTTTGACAAAGGCCGAGGTATGTTTCTTGGCTTGCTAGCCTGTCTCCTGCCCAAGGTGAAATTGCAAAATGCATATATTTGGTGTAGGCATTTTAAATGAACTTCCAGCCTTTAATCAACACTTTATTTTGTTGCACCCAGAGGCACCTGTATTAATGCCAGGTCAGGTTTTGTGGGTGCAAAATCATGGTTCCAGGCTTTGTAGCAGTAACTGAAGACTCAACGTTTCTCATTCTTCCTTAAGAATCAAATGTTTGTTAAATATAAATGGTTTAAGGGTGCCATTCTAGTAATTCAATATGATATACATCACACAACACAATACCTGTAATGCATTTTGTCTCACTGACACCAGTGGGGATTTTCTTATAAACTACAGTGGTTCCAGGCTTTGTTCTTGCTCTGCTCTTGGAAAGATTTTAAACAGAATTAATTATCCAATGTGTTTTTTGAAAGAATTTCAAAATCCGTGCTTGCAGTTTTGATGGAAGGCTGGCTTTTACCAAATTGTAATATTTTGCTACTCATAGAAGGGAGAGATATACTCTATGAATACAAAGAGACTGAAAATAAACACATCAGAATTGGACCAGATATAGGAATTACACCTATAGTGTAATAACACCTACAGTGTTTAACCTTAGTGGCAGGTTAAATTCAGTGAAGTCAGGAATACTGAGAGACTTCAGTGGGGTTCATGATGACTTCCATCATCTATTCATTTCAGTACCGTGCCAGAGTGAGAATTTTAATTACCAAGCAGTCAGTTTAGGTAGCAAAATAAGTTTTTTCAGATCTGTCCACCCACCATGCAGTATTTATTTTTCCCACTAGCTGAACTGACTAATGTTGAATGAAACAGATGTTAGTAAGTATTTCTAAAGAGAGATCAAAAGTTTTAATGATAGCTAACACACAGATGACAGTATCTTTTAATACTTGTATTTTCAGCTGCAGGTTATGAAATCAGAACAAGTGAAACTCCTCTGGAACTAAGGGACAACTTTTATAACACCACTATTGTGAATGCTTCCAGTCTCTCACCTGAGCGTGCTGGTTACAAAGAAATATTTGCATTTAAACCGGGAGCTTTTACAACAGAAAACATCACCATAATCTATGTAGCTATACGGGCCATTGATGAAGTCTTTCTTCACTCTGAGCTATCTAACATTGCACAGGCAGTAATGTTTATTCCCCCTATGGATTCTTCTACTTCTAATATGGAGTTTAGTGTTTCAATAATATTGCTATTAGTCTTTGGATTATTAGCAGTAGTTTGTCTTACAGCAAGTACAACTTTTTGTTTATTAAAGAAAAAGGACAAAAAGACTGTTTTAGAAACTTCAACTAAGTTGCTTTAACAGAAACTGCAAGCTTGTCTGACCTCCATCCATTTTTGTTTAGATGCTTTCCCATGCAAAAATAGGTGTCCTACCAGAAGAAGAATAAACAGATAATCATGTTCCAGATTTGAACTGGATTTCATGTTGTGTATGAATGTTATAGCTGAACAGCAGGTTACATTAAAACAAATCATATGTATTTAGTGTGAACTGAACAGACACAGTGTATGTTTACTACCTTATATGTATGCTAGGCAGTGTCATAGCCTATTCTTACAGTATGAAGAAAGAGATTAAATTGAGCAAGATACCTTAGATAATGTGCCTTACTAAAAAAAAAAATCTTTTTCTAAAAAAACAGTATGAGCTCCTGCAGCTCATATTTTCATATGAGCAGGTACTGTCTTTGGCAGTTTGCGTCACAGTGCCAAAACCTAATATTTATTTGCTACCATCTGCTTATTGCATCTCTATTAGGTGTCAGCTGCTGCTGCTACTCCACCTCAATAGCACCCCAATTTTTAGAAGGAGCAGTTGGAAGTAAACGTGCTCTGCTGAGAAACGTAGTCTGATGGAAAACAGAGATTTCCGTTTGGTGCTTCAAGCTGTTTGGTACTCATATAGATGGAAAAGAACAAAAGCACTGAAGGCATAGGAAAAGAATGGACGGAAATTGGAGTTCTAGGACAGAAGGAAGTCTTGTGGTCTCTTCATAACTGAAGTGAAGGCAAAAAGGTGAAACAAAACAAGAGGGAAGTAGGAAGACAGAAGCTATAAAGCGAATAAGCATGAAGCCACTAGAGCTAGTTAGCACTCCTGAATGTTCCTGTTCTTTATGGAGTTGTGAATTATGGAAGTCATGTATTTCCACTTTATCAGAGTCTTAATCCAAGGTTAGGTAGCCGAAGGGCTTAGAAAAGTCCTCTGTTAATGTAAGAGATGAAGGAAATACAATCCTGGGTTATTCATTGAATGTAGAGTTGGAAATCGGCAAGATTGGAGGGGGGAGAACAAACAGAAAACAAGAAGCGGTCAAAGAGAAGGGAGGACACATGGTGGCATTTCAGTGCTGGCCTGGCCAGGGGATACATGGTGCTGTAGCTGGAAGGAACAACCCTGCTCCCCTGCCTGTAGCTGCACAGCTTCTACCTTCCTTCTGCTGCCACTAAGTAATCTCAGTAAATCAGATCAGGTTTCTGATTCAGCTGAAAACTCTGTTGAGTTTCCAGCAAAAGATAATGAAAACAGTGCAGTGTTAGATTCCCTTGTGAAACCACATCCCCAGCAGTGGGTGAAGCGTTGCAGATTGCTCGAGAGATTTTCTCTTCTGCCTTTTGAGGTCCGTCACAACTTTTCTCTTCTCTCTAAGTGAACTAGGGAAGGAGGAGAAAGGGGAGGCACTGGAGTCAGCAGAAAAAAAGGAAAAACTTGTTCCAAGGAAAAAGCATAGGTGACAAGGATAGAACAAGTGTAAGGTTTATTATGGTCAAAGTCAAAAAATCAAAGAACAAGTGTAAGATTTATTATGGTCAAAGTCAAACAACCAAAGAAAACAGGGAAAAAAAAAATCAAGCAGACAAGCAGGAAAGCAAGGCACAAAGGAACAAGAATAACAAAGTAATAAGACTCCTAACAACTTTTTCCCTTGTAGTTCTCTAATAATAGAAAATGGAATGTGTTCATGTGATTATAGAAACAAGATTTTTAAGACATTGTGCCCAGTCCTGCAATTAAACCTTGAAAATTGGATCTGGAGAAAACCCTTTTGTTCTTTTAGTGGTGCAATTAGACATTTGATAAGGAATAACTGTACCTGCAAAAGTAAAGATTAAATTACAAGTTAACTGAACACACTCAAATCACAGCTGAAACTTTTAAGGAGGCATATTTATTGTCCACATGTAACAGAAAATAGAATTTATCAGCTATAAATATAGCCAGCTTCACTTACTAAATTGCAGTAAGATTGTTTTTCACAGTGAACCAATGATAGTAAGTGTTAACTGCTTACTCCATGATGAATGAAAATTGAATCCTGAAACTGAAATGTTTTTTCTTACAGAACATCAGTTTTCTTCCTCTGCATGTGACAGCAGACTAGAACTACTTATGGCATGAGAGGTATAAGCTGTGAGGATGGTCATAAAAGGCTACGCAAAAGTATTTCTCCAGTGCATTCAGCATCTTAACAGGTGCATGGTTTCATATTTTGATCATTCAGTAGATATCTCTTGATTGTGAGTGATCAAGATCACTCCAGATTCCCCTCAACCACTGTCATGTCACCTTCTTTGGTCTTTTGGAATATGGTAGTACTGAGAGAAGTGAGCAAGTGGAAAAGTATTTGAAGAATTCTGCCCTTTATGGGCTGGTCCCTGAGGGCAAGGAAGAGTAGTGTTCTAAAGGAAAGAAAGTAACAAAAAACAATAGCAAGACCAGACTTTCCTATAAAGACTTATGGGAACAATCTTTCAAGCTAAGTCTTTAAATACTTTTCACTCACTTATGTAAGTTCTGCCAAATACTGTAAAGGTCAAAAAAGAGGACATGACTGGACATACCAGGGTATTTCCAACTAGGTGTTCAATCTACAACTTTTCCTTGGCCTAAAGTCCCATGTACTCACCTGGCTTGCATTTAACAAACAACTACAGGTGCTTACAACTCAATGCAACAGGAAGAGTTCTCTTCAAGAAGTAAACCAGAATGACCAGACGATTAAGTTTAAGAATTATTTGAGGCAAGCTGACATTTCAAAAATCCAGAAGTCTCACCTAAGTGAAGCTGATTACGAGGGACAATAGACAGGAAGAAGCTAGGAAGACATGGAAAAAGCTGTTTAGGAGCAGCAAGAACAGGCAGCTTCACAGGACACAGAAGTAGGGGGAAGCTAAGGATGAGTGCAGGGCAAGCATGGCAGCATCCTCACCAATGAGGGGTGCAATCCCACAGCACTTGGGCAAGAAAGACAGATCCAGGGGCAGTTACCCACTTCAGCCACTCATCCAGCCACCAGCTGTCACAAGGCAGGCCAAGCAAGGTCAGGTCAGCAAGACAATGTCAAGATCAGCAAGATACAAGGCGGGCGCAACATACCACAGTGCAGCTCAGGGGGACCAAGGGAGAGGGCTGGAGCTGAAATGCAACTCCCAAGCCAATAGCAGAGGTCATGGCTGGAAACCCCAACAAGGCTTCTCTGGGCTCTTTCTCACAATTTAGCTCTTTTCTCAAGAAGTCTGACCCAATGTTACAGAGCTGCACCAAATCAGAACTGACCTTGAACACCGGCATTTAAAACCTGGGGAGGGGACAGGGGAAAGAGGTTGTCAGAAGATTATAGAGAAAGATCGTTATGGGCTGGGCTGGGTAATTAGAGCCTGTTGGTACACTCAGGGCTTTGAGACAAGGAAGTAATAATAAAGACAGAAAATAATAATACAAAAAGCTCTCCTAAAAAGTAAAGAATGGACAAAAGGAAGCCAAGAAAGAACCACTGTAGTATTATTGCAACTTAAAGGAAGCAAATCTCCCATTAACTTGTGATAATACTATCTCAGGAAGTGTCTCTTCCTTTTTTTTTCTGCATTCTCTAGCAGGACAATATTCTTTCTATTCTTATAGCAGTACGTAAAAAAATGCTGCAATTCTGATCCCACAAAAGCCAGTGAAAAATAAATTTGCCAATGGAATACTGGCAGGGAGATGTTCAGGCTGATACCCTTTGTCTTCTGCTACACTGACTAAAAGGGCCAGCCGGTCACTAGCCCATAGGGATAGCTGAGAGGATAACTAATTTATCCAGCAAAGCGTTACCTTCTTAAAGCATGTAAAAATATTTTAGAATGATTAGACATAGCTCTGGACAGCCAATCAGTTCACAAAAGTGAAATGGGCCTTTTACTTGATTCAAGTAATTTTGCTCAAACTTGCATTGTTGATCATGGCAGAAGGGGCGCTGCTGGAAGCAAGAAGGGCAGGTATATGAGGTATACAGGCCTTGCTTAGCCTTCCAAGTCTGACCGTCACTTTGCTTTTAAGCTTATCTGTGTTTAGCTGTTGCATTTAAACATTTGCCTTAGGTACCAACAGGAACTGTACCCATGTTTGCTGCTGTTGTAATAACCCAGCCTGCTATTTTCTACAGAACCAACAATATTTGCTTTTCAGACATTTTCTCTCCAGGACGATGCTTGGCATTTCCACTTCCCACCTAGTTTAGCTGTTTTCCAGGGACAACAATAACACGCTTTCTTCCATAACATCAGCTGAATTTTTTCACTGGAAAAAATTCCAGCCCTCCAAGGGATTTAGCTAACTTTACAAGGGAAGGAGAAAGGTCAGTGACAGAGCTAATGATGAATAAAAAGACAAAGACGAGGAAGGAAAAAGGGAGACTGAAACTCGAGTCTGCTTCCTGGTATGAACACCTTGGATATCAGAGTGCAATGCCATCGCATTGCCTCATGTTCCAGTTTTGGACGTACTTGTTGAACTTTGAAGCTGCAGACTAGTACTAATAGGTCTGCCATTAAAGAACTGTCAGCTACTCTGTTATCACAGTAACATCAATGCCAGTGACTAGATTAAGAGCATATTGCGAGAAAATATTACAGTCCAGCATAGTACGAGAGCCCCAATACATCTGAGACACAGATCTGTCAGAGTCTGAGTCATGCTTGATTTCCATTTTTGACTGCTTGGCACAGCAAAACACATATGCATAACCAACTTGACATCTCTCCACATATTAACTGCTGACTTCCGTCTGTAACAATTGCTTACTGCTTTAAAAGCAAATTATAAAAGTGTTGCTAACTAGTAGTGTGGAAAATGTTTAAAAAGGAATTGGTTGTTAGTATTTCCTAGGCTTCAATCACTGCTAAAGACAAACTGAAGGCAATCACAATTTTGTTTAAGTACCTATTCAGTTCAGAAGGGAAGTGAAGGTAGTAATTAGAGAAAACCACACACTGATAAATGAATAACAATCAGTATTAGTTAGAAATTGGAAATGCAGAAAGGTAGTAAGGGATTAAAATATCAGAGAAAAATACTGATGCTGGCAAAAACAAATGTATCAGGAACATCAATAAAAAACTTATGAGAGAATAAGGCAAATATTAGATACAGTTAAATTGTTCCTGATGCAAAAAAGCAGAAGTATATAGCTAATATTTCTGTCCAATATTTGGGAAAAAGTGGAATAACGTAATTACATCCCATGAAAATTAGGAGCTATTTTTCATCCTACTAGGAAAAGAGACAGACATAGATCTTCATCTGGAAGTATTTTGAAATGCCTATGTCTGGATAAATATCACCCTGTAATTTTAAAAGAATAGTATAAGACCTTCTGCAGCAGTTTACTCTTTTGATTATTAATGACTTTTGCAATATCACCAAGAAGAAAAAATACTTGTATAAAAGGCAAAGGGAGTCACCTGGAAAATTATCAGAAAATCTGCTAAAAATCTATTCCACACCAATAATAGAAAAGCTGATATAGAATTCAATCAGTAATGATTAAAAGATGAAAATGTAACTAGTGCCAGTCACCACCAAATTTATTCAATTTTTTATTATTTAATTTTTATGCCATTATAAATTTAACTAAAAATATAGATACATCATGAAACATTTGTAAGGTGAATACTATCTGATATTCCAGTTTAACATGTATCAGTACGTTGGCTTAATCAAGCACATCCTTAACAAATTAGGAACTACCTAGCTGACAGATCTCAAAAAGCAAGGGTAAAGAATCATCATCTAATAGACATTTCTCAAAAGACTGCAAACCATTGATAGGCCTGATGCTATTAAATATTTTGTCAAGGACTCAGAATGAAATACAAAATCACTTCTGGACGAGTTTCTTAGAGCACAAAGTGAGACATGAGGAGTGGAGATAAGGCAGCCACACAGAGTAATCTGGATTGCTCAATAAACTGTTCTCACTCAAGCAAAAAACATTTTAATACAAGTGTGACAATCATACACCTATTCAAATGAGGAAATATTAAATACCGAATAATACGTATAGTAGTTCTTGGGATGCTTACTCTCTCACTGAACAGCCTTTGCCTCGTCTGTTGGGTCAATTCCATACTACATAGTTGTGCTGTTCAGAGTTTTCTCAGGAAATCCCGGAGATCTTGGCTTGCCCGATTATTATTTCTGCTTACTCAGGAAATGGTCAAGATTAAATTTGACATAAACCTAATAACAGAACAGAGATCACATTAAGGTGCCTCAAGGGCACAAGGAAATACATACATATTTTTTTTAGGTCATGATAGCATTTCCTCCTAAAATTAATGCATAACTAAATAAAGTCAATGTATCCAATCACATTTCACCATATTTACATAAAGGATCAAAGTCCTGTCACTAAATGTTACATTTTTTTGGGTACAAAGGCAGTTGTATAAATAAGGCTGATAAGCCATGATTCTTCTAACCAAAAATGTGGGGACGAGGACAAGCAATGGTGGTGTTCAGGAGCTTGATTTTTTTGCTGACTTTTCAGTTCCTGCATGTGGCAAGAGGTTCTAAGGTATGGCTAAATGAGAGTGGCTATGAGGATTTGGTTATTGCAATTAATCCCAAGGTGCCAGAAGATGCCAATATCATTGAAAACACAAAGGTAAGAACATTTGTATTTACATGTTTTGTTTCTCAGCATTTTAGAATGCCTTGACTTTCTCTACTTCCAAAATAGCATGAATTAGGTCCAGCTCCCATTCATGTCAATGGGAATTTTTCCTGTTGTTCAGAATTAATTGTTGATCAATCCCATAGTTACTAAACCAGTCATTTCTAATTTGTCTTGCCATCTACTGTTCTTACTACGAGCACCACTCGCCTATGTGGGACAATACTGTAATATATTCTTTTGGGAGGCAGACTGAAACTCCTTTAAGCAGCTTTCCAAATGCTTACCTGAAAAAATAGCCTATGAACAGTTTTTTAAAAGCCACTGATCATGCTACTGTCCTAGCACTTGTCATTAGCTAGTATACCTCCTAATGTTCCTTTAAAATTTTTAAAGGAAACAAAAAAAAAATGCTTAGGTTTAGTTATATTTCTGGGCTTAGCTTTTATTACAGCCTTTGTAGACTCCTGAAAGGCATCCCACATAGATGCCTCTACAGAACTATTCTCTTAGCGTAGTATGCCAGCCAGGTCTCAAAGCAAAGCATATGTTTTTGTCTATGTGAAATCATTCTGGAGAAAATCTGCTGAAGAGCACGCTTCTTCATACAGTTACTCGAATTTCAGCAGTATGTCTAATGCCTGTTAGACCCTGATGTAGGATATCTCAGTCCCATATCAGTTCTAAGACCAAGTACGAAGGATATCATCCTTAGGTCAGCCAAACAGCTTACAACATTTCCAGATTTCTCTCATCTAACAAGAGGATGACATGAAGCTAAACTGGATGTGATGGTTTACTTTTTACCATTTCTCACTGATTGCCACCTTTTTTTAATAATAAACATAGTTTACATCACTCCATTTCCGTTATGGGACAAGCCACTAAGCATGTTTTTTAGAGTAGAAGCATACATGTGGCAGTTACTGTTCCTGCAAGATAACCTCTACATTATAAATTCACACAATAGCTGCCCTTATGGGAACTTGCTCTTACACCATCCCTTTAGTTCCTTTGATCTAGTTAAAACTGGTCTGTTTTGTCTGCATAGCAGGTAGGGGTGGGATGGGGACAGGTGAAATATCATGTCTCATTACTTCTCAACCTGTCACGGGGTTAGCACTCACTATCGCTCCCAGTCCTGGCAAATTTAGTTTCTTCAGGAAATATCCGTTAGCTGATTTTTTAATGCACACGTAACATAGATGTTTGATTCCAAAGTCTTTATCGCAGCTTGTTTCTTAGTTTATCAAAAGCCTATGGGACAGATTTCAGCTTCATCCTTCCTTTTTTTCCCACATCGAATAGCTAGTTGTTACTGAAGAGAAAAATAAACATAGGGAACGCTTTTTCTGCTGCCTGTACTCCAAGGAAGGTGGTAAAATAGCAACAAGAAAGAAAAGTAATGGCAGCATATAGTAGCCATAATAATACAAATAAGAAGAAAGGAGAAACAGTGAATTTGACAGAAAAACGCTGACGTTTTTCAGATAAATGAATGAATGGGTGCAGTACTGAATCTTTCCCACACTTGCTATCAAGCCCATATTAATTTAAGAGAGAAATTCTTATATTTAGTAGTTTTAATATGATATGAAAGCTAGAGTGGGAATTTTATCACAGTCTCTGATTAAGAGGAGGATTATAGAGCAAGTGTGAGATTCTAAGAATTACAATTTGGCGTCTTCATTTATAGCATCTGTGCTGAAGATGGTAGTACTTCTTTTGTTTTGTATTATGTACTTAGTGCGCCTTTATTTTACTACTCTTTCTTGACAAGTCTAAATTATTCCTTGCACTTACTTTCAATTGTAATGTTAATATTTTTTTTCAATCCCTAGGCCATGGTTAAAGATGCTTCTAATTACTTGTTTGAAGCTACAAAACATCGATTTTTCTTCAAGTCTGTAAAAATTATAATTCCTAAAACATGGAGGAAAAACACCAACTATTCACGATTAAAAACAGAATCATATGACAAGGTATGACCTACAGAACTCTTTAAGATTAAAACTATAAGGAACAGCTGGTTTGATAATGCTATATTATAAATTACTGCAAGATGTAGGACTAATCACGGAAGTTCTTATTTAAGAGAAGAACTGATGGGAGCATTGGACTGAACTTTCACAGAAAGAATCACCTAACCCTTCTCTATTCCCACCCTGCATTTCTCAATGTTATTTATGCCTTTGGTCTTACTGTTTTAGGCAGATGTCATCATAGCGGATCCTTTCTTGAAATACGGAGATGATCCATATACCTTACAGTACGGAGGATGTAAGGAGAAAGGAAGATACATCCATTTCACACCTAACTTTCTATTAAAAAGCAGTTCGCTTAATGTTTATGGAGAAAGAGGTAATGCTGCTGTTTAGTTCAAATGCCTATTTTAGTGTTAAGATGCAATCACCATGATTTTCCCAAGTGATTAGTGAATTTGAGTACCTCAGTTTGCTTGCCAAAATTGAAACACTTCAAAAGAGACAGATTTTTCAGAAGTAGTAAATTCCTATAAAGGAATTCCTGTAAGGTATCTGAAGCTAAATATTCAAACACTGGATCCAAAAGTTGTTTTCCCTTTGAAAACCTTAAACGGTTATTTTTCTGCACTGTAACTGCTGCTATTAGCAGTAGCCTTCCTTTTAAACTCACTTACCAGAAAAAATATCCAATGTTTGTATGTCTGATTTTATACTACATTAGGGACAAAAAATGTAGACGTTTGCTGCCCTATGGGACAGAAACCTTACAAAAACTAAAGTTCCTCACAAGATTTTTGCTAACTTGGAAAGCTTTTTTAGAACAGTTCCTGAATTTCTGAGAAACTCAAATACGAATCAAAATTCTAGTCGTGGTTACTAAATTAAAGCCTTCCTTGTTTTACCTAAAGGTAAAATTATTTTTCCTATCGCTTAAACATGTCACAGTTTTCTTGTATTATATGAGAGAAGTATTATTTTGTTAAAATGACTTACTAAAATGTTGAGTTGGCCTTAAATGGTTGTGTTTAGAATGTGTATATGTTACTACTTTTCAACAGGCAGAGTTTTTGTCCATGAATGGGCTCATCTTCGGTGGGGGGTATTTGATGAATATAATAGCGATGCACCTTTTTATGTGTCCACAAATTCTGGAGCAGCAAGTGTTGAAGCAACAAGGTATTATTTTTTCATATTTCTACTTTTACATTACACAGTTTAAAACATTTCAATAACAATTTCAATATTCTTGTTGTCTGTGTGGAGTTTGTGCTTTGATCTCTGTATAGTCTCCATCAGCTGTTCATATGATTTTTTATTCAATGATGTCTATTGCATGCTTGCAGCACAGAGTCCAAGCTGGCTGAAGTGCAGTGTTGTTTTGTAACAGGTTCTATAGATAAAACTAGATAGACTTTTGTTGTGTGTGCAATTGCAGACTTCCGTTACCATTTGTTACATTTTATTTAACATAATTTTGTCATATAGTAGTTATCAACAACACTGAAATCCCCTACTGAAACCACTGTGATTTTAAGTGTTTTCCACAAAGAAATCTTGCTCTTTTTTTGCAGGTTGGGCATTCCAATAGTGTTTTGCTTTGCAGCTCCTAGCAAAACATCTTTTCTGCCTTGCCTATAAATACCTCAGGATGCTTATCAATTGCATCAAGAAAAGACAACAAGGGTTTTATGATTTTAACCATTTTCAGATTAGAGTGGGGACTCTGCAAGGCATGAAGAGTGCCTACCCGTCTACTTGTACAGTGTCTCGTACAGTGGTGTGTCAATGCCAATTTGGCTTTGGGCAGCCAAAATTCAAATAGATAACCAAACCTATCACAGAATATATAGGGGTTCCTAGTCAACCTTGCCTGTCTTCTCTTCCCGTAGGTGTTCAGCTAGTGTCACTGGTGCACCTGTCTTCCAAGAGTGCAGTGGAAATAACTGTGAAGTAAGAAACTGCAGATATGATGGCCAGCTCTATGAAGCTGGATGCACATTTGTACCAGACAAACAACAAAATATCCCATCTTCTATTATGTACATGCAAAGCTTACCTTCTGTAAGTATTGCTACACCTTTCCAAACTGAGAGTTTAGTAACATTTGAGGTCTTGTCAAGTATTTCTGCTGGATAAAAAGACCACAGAGTCAGGCATTTCTTTAACTAATTTCTGTCTATTTCAAAGAATATGCAAAGAATATTTTTGCTCATAATACAAGTCACTTTTCAAGCAGCCTCTGTCTGCTCTAGCACTTCTTTCCCCTGCTGTCTGCCTGACTTTCTGGACAGTGTTTTCTGTTGGCTTGTTACTGCCCCCACCATTGACATCTCAACCAAACAATCTGCAGCAAATTCTCTGCTGTTTTAGCTCAGTTTCCAACTGATGCTACAGGTAAACCATGACTTGTTTCAACAATCTTCCTTCTAAATGAGCTTACTCACCTCCTACATTTGAAACAGATATCATCTCTTGTCTTTTAGGACTTCTTAGGACAACTGTCACCCAGTGAAGATCTTTAATGTAGGCTTGGCCTCTGTCTGCCTAGCATGAAGTGTAATAAGTATTACTGTTGGTTGTACTTACTGTCAACTGGGACAAGTACTGTAATCTCTAAGACAAGAAATACAAGTTTTACTAGGAGATTTCCTATAACAGAAGAACTCCATCCAAGTTACAACTCCCCCACTCACTCCTCCTTCAGGAAGAGCAGCTGCACATTCTAGAGAGGGCAGACTCTTTAGGACAGCCTCTTCTACCTATTGTCCTTTTCTGGGAAAAAAAGACTGCAGAAGCCTCTACAGCAAGGACACAAATATCCTCCTTTTAGGGGTGGGCTGGATGCTTATTTAAATCTTCCTTTCTGATAATGCATAGCATCTCTACCTATGTTTTGTAGAAATCTGCTTCTCCAAGTCCCTCAAAGGACTCATACCTCCTATTACAGAAACATTGTACACTACCACAGGTACAACAGGTGCTTGGCAAATCTCCTTCCAAGTGATGCTATGAGTTCTATTATAATCTGTTCAAAAGTGAAAATGGGAGCTAGTGGAACTGATTTGAGGGCTGTTTTGTGTCAATAAGGGTGGGATGCATTGAGAGCTCAGCATCCTTTTTGCTCTTTGTTTAGAAAATCAGATCAGCAGACATAAAAGTGAAGTGCTCTTGCCAGATGCCTTACCCATAAGATTCAGGTGATTTTTGATCACTCTCTCTGTAAGCTGCCATCTGAACTGTGTTACCTCCCCTGCAGAACAAATTTATCTGTCAATGCCTCGTGCAGAAGCAGCCCACCTCTCTCAGATGTGGCCAGGCTGGTCTCCTCATGTCAGCTCTGCTTCAGTGGTTGTGCTGGGGTTCTAGGACAGAGGTCCTAGATGTCCTGCATGATGGACAGTCTTCTGGAAAGCTAGATGACTGTAGTAAGGGATGATAATTCCTTTAGCTATTTACTTCTATTTCTTCGGGCAAGCTCTTTCTAAGATCTTTAGGGGTCATGGCTTTCCCTCAGCAGGACTCTGCTGACATCCTTAGACATCTAAGGACAGGAGAGGTTGTATCTGAATCTTGACCCTGTATCCTTTGCATCTCTTTCCTTATTCTGCCCAAGAAGACTTACAGGAATTGGTTTAAGACCATCAGCTTAACCCAGGAAGTTTGTTAAATATGCAGGCTGCTAACTTGTGCGGACCCTCATACTGGGAGCTTCTTTCTCTGTTTGCTTCTTCTAAGATCTTGCTTGGAGAGGCACCATGACACAGAAGACACATTCGCTTGTGAAAGAACACTTATATTTGTCCACCTCTCACTACAAACCCCATATTTTCTGAGATATTTTGTTACACTTATACTGTTGAAGCTCAGAATTATTATCATCTTCAATTTGACTTTTTAGGTGGTTGAATTTTGTGATAAAAGCTCTCATAATGTAGAGGCTCCAAATATGCAAAATAAGATGTGCAACTACAAAAGCACCTGGGAAGTAATTATGGAATCTGCTGACTTTCAAAACTCCTCTGTCGTTAATAGTCCTACACCTCCTGTTGAGCCCACATTCAAGCTACTGCAGACCCAAGACAGAGCAGTCTGTCTAGTACTGGATATTTCTGGGAGCATGACATTGGTAAGCATACATATTTTATAAGCATTTTTTGACAAAAGATATTACAAATGCAGATATAAAATAATTTAAATACTTTCAGTCAATATTCCAGTCATTAACTTTATTATTCTAGGAAAAAAAAAAAAACAGACTGATTTCTCCCTGCTAATCTTATTCAGAAATTCCTACAAGAAATTCCTTCAAAATATTGAGAGTGACAGGCCATACTTGGTATTTTTTTTATTGTAAAATCTCACATTTACATACTTTCTTTCCTTTGTCTCACAGTTAGAATGACAGTGCCATTGTATTTCTCCTGAACAGAACGTATGTTATAGACAGAGTTTTATTTTGTATTCTTATTATGTATGATTCTAAAATTACTTTAAAACAATATTTAGGTACGTACCAATAAATGAGATGTTCTCCTCTCATCATGATATTGGTTTTTTGGAATCAAAAATGTGAGTTATCTTAATGCTATGTCATGGTAACATGACGGAGGGTTTTCCACCTTTTTTTTTCCATGAAATTTTGCATAGTTTTACTCTTCAGAACTTTCCATGGCATGAGATACCTAGCTTCTTTGTGGAAAAAAGGTTAATAAGGTCTTTGAATATGTACTTATTTGCATAAAAACACTTTTATAAAACTGATATCAGTGTGATCAGCTGCAGAAAGGTGACAAAATTATTTTGGATAGATAAGGCCATTTCCCAATGCTTTTTTAATAGATTTCAAGCCTCTGTGCAGATTATAACAGCTTCTAAAAATGAGCCTATCAGCTTTTGATGACATACAGCATTTCCTTATCCATAACTTACTTCTTCCAAGATTCGGTAGTGAGCCAATGACAGCTTCTATTTTCTCAAAAATATTACAAGTTCGGACTGTCATGTCTCACAAGAATTCAAGATTAAAAATTAGACTTGTTCACTGGTTTAATAATGGGAAGGTCACCTCTAGTTTTTACATGGAGAACACAGTACTTACTTGTGCCTCAGAAAACATAAATGCCAAGAATAATGCATGCCGTTTATATTCATCTGAAGGAAATAATTCATAAGGCTCAAGTGTGCTGAGAAATATTCTTAAATATTTGACAGTTATTCCTTAAACCAAAGGTACACAAAGAAGCATAAAGCAGCAAATGCTCTAATTCTCTAGGTACGTACCAAGAAGTGCGGGATTCTCCCATAGTACTCCATTAACAGACCTATTTCCAGATGTGCCATTCTACTCCAGTGCTGTTCCTGGGGCTGATCTTCAGCAAAGATCTGCAATTGTAATAAATTATATAATGATTTTCATAATATGGATGAATGTCTGCCAATCGTTATACATTTTATGAATGCAGTTGGTAATTAATAATGTAATTCTAACTCAGAAAGTGAAGATAATTATGAATCCTGCAATAATAGCTAGTTTCAGAGTGAAATATTTTCAAGTTTAACTTTTTTATTTCAGTAACTGCTTCAAATATGTACATTTGAAATATTAATTCTTTTCCTAATATTAATTTTTCAAAATACTTATTGTCTAGGCTAACCTACCACATGGGTATTAGAGATGCTTTACTTTGGGACTGACAACATGCTATCAAGACAAAAGAGTAACAAATACTTGATTAGAAATTAGGTCATAACCTCAGAAGATGAAGTTTGGTTAACGATATCTTTCCTGGAATATACAGTTTGCAAACACACCAGAACATGGTACACATCTCCTGCGTCTGGGACTGAACATACATATGAGTTGTCTAATGTACCTTATAGGTGATAGTTATTAATTTCTCATTACAAACTGAATAACATTACTAGTTGCTATATTTTCAGAAGAGGTTGCATTCTAAGGATGTTATTTGTCTCCACATACAGAATGACCGCATTAAGCATCTCTATGAGGCTGCAGAGGTATTTCTGCTCCAAATTATTGAAATCGGTTCCTGGGTTGGAATTGTCACATTTGAATCTAGTGCATATACAAAAGCTCCTTTGCAACAAATAACCAGTAATACAGTACGCCATGCACTTACTCAATATTTGCCTAGGACTGCTGGTGGAGGAACGAATATCTGCGCAGGTGTACTTACAGGACTT